AAACAACCATGGATCAAAGATAACTTTCAACAGAAAATTTTCAACAGAAAAGCAGAGAGTCATTGTATGAGAAAGCATTTCCTAAAAATGTCAAATGAGAAAGCAATTTTTAAAAAATTAATACCGACTTGATTAGACGAATGTGTCCAAAAAGAACAAAAAAAAACTGATAGACCAGAAACCTATTATCAGAATAGATAAAAGTTCAGATGATAAATTTATCAGCCCCATCGTTACAAGATTTTAAAAATAGTCAGTACGGTCAATTTGGTTCTATATTCAAAAAAATCAAGATTTTATTTTTTTTAAAAGATGGTTGAGATGCCGAATTTTCATTAATGCTCAACAAAAACGCTCAGATCATCAAAACATGACAAAGAACAGACTTCGTTCTCAAAACTTGGTCAATGTTATAAGTTTTTTTACAGATCACTTTGGTTATTAAAGCGAGAGGCCGGTTTAATTTCCGCCTCATAGAAAGCAATTTGACCGGAGCATATCAGTTTCAGCAAAGATTCGAAGGATTAACAAACATGCTGGCAGAATTCCACAGTCTAATACCTACAATCTGCAAAAACACATATGCATGATTAAAATACATACGGATGAAAACAAAAGGTTTAAAAAGAACTACACGAGGAAACACTAAAAACAACGATAAGGAATTTAGACGAAGAAGTTCTAACTTTCTCATTGTTTGAAGAACCTATATATCTCAATGTGATTTTTCTTTCAATATGGCTTGATTAGAAAAAAAGTATATGCTCGGTGGACCAGGTCGCTATTTCGCAAAACAGAAACCATAAAAAAATTAAGCCGCCTTAAACAATCAAGCCACTCAAAAAGCTTCATGGGATCCATACATCACCTTATATGGTTTACCCAAATTCAGAACGAACAGCATCAGCACTTAAACCACTCCTCAAAAATACGGATGAAAATAAATAAAACGAAAAAGAATTGGAAACAAAACAAACGATCGCCCTCAAACAAGCATTAAAGCTAGATTCTGAATTAACAGGAAATCAATATTTTAATCAAAATTTTGAAACCCTCATAGTCTGCGTAGCGACAACGAACAGGGCAGCATTAAAACAATTCACCGAAGGATGCTGGGTTGCAATCGCATAGCATACGCCTTACGGTTTTTAAATCAGCCGGAAGAAAGTTACATATTAAGAAAACTCGAGCTCTTAGGGGTGGTAAAGGCTATAGCAGACTTCAAAAAAGTTTTTCTGCGGGAAAATTTTTTTTGTCATCACAGATCATCAAGCTTTTTTCATTGTTTTATATGCAAGCAGAAGATCAAGAACTTGGTCGGTTGTACAAAAGCTACAAAAATATCACCACTGCGCCGAAAAAAGATTAACAATCAAATTCCACGTTAAGCAAAGCGCTTTCATTCCACATGGAAACATATGCTGAACCTAATTAAAAGGTTCAATTTCATTTTGCAGGCCCCTTCGGGATGAATTGATCAAAAATGCGTAATAATTAGTGGTAATTGTCAAATTATCCAAGGTTTTTACTGCAAAGTTTGCATCAAACATCTTTGCAGATATTGCCTCAAGTCTTATCCAAGGCTGTATCGCAAACAATGGTGTGCCCAGAAAAAAATAAAAAAAGTTCAGCCCAAAAAAAAACAAGTTTTTTGCATGCAAACTACCTAATTTTTGTTGAACTACTGGATGATCATAGATCAATAAGCGTAGCTGCAAAGACGATACAGGTGCTAGAATGTAGGTTACGACCCTGAAACTTGGTAAAAGTAACACACCTGTTAAACTAGAATCGCATATAGCTGAAATCATAAAAAAAATACTAAAGGCAAAAGATGAATATAAGGTTGTTTTTAAATCAGTATTTTCCCAGAATTTCTTTTTCAATATTTTTTTGTTAATTAGTTGTCTCAAATTTATTTGTTGAGAGAATTGACGATAGTAGTGATGTCAATCGGATGCAGATTTTTTAAAAGCATTTAACAGAACTAACCCAATCTAGAGCCGCAACCTAGCCACATAATACATCATAATGATCGATGTTTTTGGTTGCTAATGACTCATTTTTTCTCGACCTGAGCATAAAAACCTTGCAAATTTTAGCAAAAAAAAACGTATAACAAACAATTTATATTGTTAACTTTTTCAAAACTCTTTTTTTTAAATCCTCTGCTAACTGAGAAAAGTTAATGTGCAGGATTATCCGTTAGATGATTTAAACAATGTACAATTTTAAGAAATTTTGAAATGCCGTTGATTGAGATTAACAATTTAAGCTGCTGGAGTACCATCTCCTGTAAAAAATGAAGAGAAATGGTTAATTTTTTTCCATTGAAAAAAAGAATAAAAGTCATAATTTTTTTGAGTTTTTGTTTCTGAGTCTGAGACCAAGCAAAATAAAATGAAATTCCTTGATAGCTCGCTCTTCGCAAATTTTTTTGGCGATTTAAGCAAATAATATTTAGAAAAAATCTATCACTTTTCTAAAGGTCAACTCGAAAAAAATCACGTTCTCATTTTTTAATCAGTTTGCATCAAGTCAAAACAAATCTTATAAATATTTGGGTTTAAGACAGATTTTTTGGATTGGTTGTCTAGCTTCCGCTTTCACGATTCTAGCAGGATAACTTCCATCTCGCAAGATCTTGCAATATCTTGCAAGATAACCTTCATTTGCGTAAACCTTTCTAGATATTGTAAGAAAACCTCCCTTGATCGACAAGGGCCAAAAGAGAAAAGCCAAAATTCCCACTGAGAAAAGGACTGGGGGTAAACTTGCCTCAACGACACCAGCAAGAGGCATGCACTTATGACAGGAAATGACGGTATCGAATAGCTCTTGGTAAGTTCGCGACAACAACTCTGGGTCAGAAACATTTATTTCGTGAAGTGACGACTGGTCATCGCGTTAGAAAATACAGCACAGTCACTTAAACCAATGGGCATTAAAAATCCACCGCTGCAGAAATCAAAAACTTTGATAGAAGCAACATGAAAATCACTGCGAAACCGACAATCGGCCGTTGGTTGCCGGAGCGTTCGGAAACCCAGTCGTAATCAATGCGATAGAAACGAAAGACGAAAAAACGAAAAAAATATTACTGTTACCCCCCGCCCCCAGAAAATAAAGAGGGTAACAAGTTGAACATCAAAATTTCAACCATGGAATGGGATTCAACAAAAATCAGTGGATTTTCAAGAACGTGGGAAAGTCCCGGAGGCGTTGATACCAAAACAGACTTGAAAGCTCAATGTGGTCGATTTGGTATCACCAATTTCGAATCCCTATCAAAAGGTCCTATTAGTGATTGATATATGCAAAAGAGATGACAAACAAAACAACAAAATTAACAAGGCAAAAAAATAACGAAACAGAAAGACTTAGCAAACACGAATGAAAATAGAAAATCCGCGGTTATTGTTTTCGAAAAGTAAAAACATAATTTTTTTTGTCATAACCAGATTTACGGAAAACAATTTTCGCAAGTTTGTTATTCAGGACTCGTATGACAAGAATATTTTACTGAATGAAATTTGTATGATTAGATTTTTTGGTCAAAATAGGCAGATTGCTTCATTTTCTGCAAACGCAAGCAAGTGAGAGACTCTGTTTGCAAGTTTCCGTTTTTGTCTGATTATATAATGACAGTTTGGAGCAAAAAAATCGAAGGAAAAAGCAATGGTGTAAAAAGCAAAGCAGCCAATTGGTCATTCTGGTAGAACATCGTTCTCACATTTAATCCTCCTTGTTATAATGCAAAGGATATAGAACCAATTGGAGTCGAACAACCTTGTTTCTATGATTTTCTTGCTCTGATACAGTTGTGTAGTTAAAAAACGTCTTTGTTATATGTGAATGTCATGTTTTGAAATTGAACTTCACTTTTCCTACTAGCTATTCGTTGAAATTGAATTCCCTATTGTTGATTTTCAACTTCTTTCTGTCGCAATTGAACTACAAAAATTATATTTTTTTTTCTTCAAACCTTTTTTTTTGAAGTGCAACTGACAGCCTTAAACTGTGTTTTCAATTGCGTTTTGCAGCTGTCATCCGGCCGGATTGGCAAAACCTATAACGTAATATTTATTTAAGTTTGTATGGCACTTATACTCGTCTTGTGACCTTGGTTGAGCTGATACTCATAGCTGAGAGCAATGGCCGTCAGACTATAGAACTAACAGTTACCATTCAGTTGCTTGTGTACACATGAGTTCATTCTTTATTCGGTTTAGCAATCCGTTCGGATCATAGAAAATACTGTATTCATATAGAGAATTGCAAAAAGTTCGGACAGACAGAATTAATTAAAAAGAGCAATCGTACCATTTTGACAGATTTTTGCATGCAATTTCTTTTTTCATACAACCTTGAGACACAAAATCAAACTGAAAAATTAGATTTTGCATGCAAAATTTTTCCAAAATAGGTCAATTGCTCTTTTTAATTAATTTTGTCTGTCCGAACTTTTTGCTACTAATTATACATTAACGTATGACAGCAGCTTTAAGCTTTAATTTTTTGGGGGCAGCGGTGGTTATAGAGGCAGAGAGCGGGTTGTTGGTACTTTTCTCATTGATGATTGGACCGTTCGAGCTTGATCGGTCGATTGCCACTAATTTTTTTGCTGCTCAGATAAAATGAGTTTTTTTACTTTCAATTATGAGTTTCAAGGGTGTGGTTTTGTTACGTTATATTCATGGATATTGCATTAGGCACTTGTGCGACACCATTTTATCAAACTGACACACTGATAACCACATTTGCTCAATCAACCAACCCGGACATCGTTTGCTGTTGAAAACCCGTTTTCAGATAAGTGTTCCAAAAATTCAGCAGTTAAGTTGTGGGTATAAAAGTTTCAAGTATTCTTGAAGTCTATGCTGTCTTTGGTCAATTTAAAAGATGTTCAAATTTGTATTTTAGTCTGTAAAGCAAACTGATTAAGTCACTGCCGTCAAAATCTTCAACCATTCTTAATCTTCATTTCAGTTTAGTTCCAGTTTAGTTCCAGTTTAGTTCCATTGAGTTCTCAAGTTTGCTAAATCGTCTAGAAGTATGTCTCTCTTTCGACCCATCCGCCTGGATACTTTCTGATCAGGTATCGTCTCACTTCGTCAAAAGTGAAGATCACGTACGCAAAGGGAAGACTGGGGAACCAATACCAGAAACTAAACAAAAACAAGCAAATCAACCTAATGTATTCAACTTTGTGGCTGTTTTATGGCAAACTGCTCCCCCCCGTTATTGCAGAAACCAGAACTGGCTACAGGACTCTAAAATTTTACTCACTAACATTTTCCCCCCTTTATATGTGATGAATTTCCTTACTAGAGACGAAGTTTTGGGGAAGTATCAAAAAATATCAAAGTATCAAAAAAGGAACTAATTAACACGATTTTTGACAAGAAGGCCAAATTTTTCTTAAATTTAATTTTTCAGCCACGGAAGTTTTTCGTTTTAATTTCCAAAACATTTCGTTCCTGTTCCACGAAAAAGTTTGGCTGATAACTTTTGATCTTTAAACTGAAATTGTTTAGAATCTATGATTTGGAAGCTCGATTTTCTTGTATTTTTTGAAAATGTATGTCACTAAAAATTTACTTATTTTTGCGGCACTAAAAAAACTTAGGCAGTAATAAGGATAACTGAATTAAAGAATGATGAGAATAATGTCTAACTGAATTGGGGCTGTTTTGATGGCACTCTGTAGTCCGGGACAGTAGGAGAGGAAGATGCACAGACAAGTCTCGAATACCATCCCGATCAACAGGGGGTGGTTGGACATGATACCCTACAACAAAAGAAGAAAGAACGGCTAAAGGCAGAGGAAATAGTATTCCGATGAAAGATGGTCATCGAGACCTCATTGATTAGTAAAAAAAAACTTTAAGAGTGAAAAGAATAATCTATACATTTTTCAAGATGCGTTTTTGAAGTTAGAAGGATTCATGTTTAAGTTACGTTAAAAGGAATATTAAAATAAGAGCTTCCATCTTTTTCTGATAAACTTATTGGACAATTTCGTTGTTCGAAAAAAGACATTCCGAAAAAAGACTTTATATCAATTTTGTTGATAGTTTTTGGATATTGTTAGTTAATAAATCAAAACAAATCGTTTTCAGGTTCACAATGAGACAAGTACATCAATTTGGTACAAATTATAACGCAACGTCAAGAACGTCATTAGAACAAATGATTGGTTCTTAGTTGTCTCCGGAAATCTTTCACATTTTTTTTTCATACGGGCGTGAACTTAATTATGTTCATATGTGATATATAGATCTCCATTTATGGACTGTGCGTGCCTGTGTGAAGAGCGAGTTCATTCTGGTCTTGTGGATGATGAGGTCACTCCACTGTACCACCACTATACTCGTGAAGAAGGCAGTGTTGCACGTGTACTCCAGGGTCTTCCGCTGGTCATACGCCTAAAGAGAAGTTCCAAAAGATGGAAAAGACTAAAATTGGAATGGTTAAAATCTTGAACAATCAAAAAACGTTCTTTTTATAACCTCAATTCTTCTAAAAGTGTGTGTGTGTGCGTGTGTGTGTGTATGTTTGTTTGTTTGTTTGTTTGTTTGTTTGTTGTGTGTATTTTTAACTCGTTTGATCACGTAGAGAACCATGTCGAACATCGAATTGACCTTTGAACCCATAAATAAAGTGCATTTGCCGGTTACATGAACAAAAATTCTCCTTGAATTTTGAATGTAACAAAATTGGTCAGATTTTAGGGTAGCAATTTCAATCGGATTTTAGGGAATTTAACGCTGAGTTGAAGGAAAATTTAAAAAAATCATGCCAACAAAGCAATTCTATTAATTTTATGAGGAGTTTTGAGTAGTTAGAAACAAAAAAATTCTGGGAAAAACAATTTTCCAATCATCATCAGACTCCTCCGGCTCTAGTTCACTATATTTCACAAGTTATATCATTGAATGATTGGATCGGTGACAAAATTTGTGAATTGCAATGTCTGAAGAAGCCATTTTTTAAAGAAAACCAGTAACAATCAATCACCCCTCCCCCTCCCCCTCCCCCTCCACAATCATGAGCACTAACCCACATCTGTCCTCTGGAGTCGCGTAAGTCGTTGATGTCCTGGTTGTCCCAGTCCTCCCTCAACCCAAACAGTATCTTGGGGTGGAACCCATTCACTCCCATGATCACAAAGTAGGTGAAGAAGCCACCCGCCGCCTGCATTATTCCTACAGGTAAATCATTAAGACTATTTATCCATGATGACAAGAGCATAGATACGGTCAGCTTCGTTCAGTTTGGAGCATCGCTGGTGTGCCCCCTGCTTAAAAGTAAATTGGAAAATGGTTTGCTTGAGTCACATGGAAGATGATTTTATACTACATGAAATACGATATCGCAAAACCCCCAAATGGAAAAAAAGAGTCTGCGGGTTAAGTCTACCAATTCTCCCAATAACTTCCGGTTTTGTACGCGGACGTTTTTCCAATTTTTTCAGCGTCACGTTTTTGAAATTTGCTGCTGAAATGTTGTACAGTTCATCAAATGAGGCAAAGTCATTAAAAAGGTACTTTCTTCTTGATAGATGCTCATTCATACATTTAGTATATAGAGGCGTGCATGGATTTTTTGACAGGCCTTTTTTGAAAATTTTGGTCAACTTTTTTTTCAAATCAGCCATTTGAATTTTTTTGAACTCGGCTGAAACCGTAACAAGATTTAATTTGGAAATATTATTGAAAAAGCAAACTAATAGTATATTTTATGTTTTGGCTTCTTAAAGGTATATAGAGTATATTCTTTTAAAAATGTTTCTTTAAATCTTCTTAAATCTATATATTTCGCCGCCTTAACTCTTTTCTTAATATGAAACTTATATTTACGATGTCTCATTTTTTTGAACCGTCGCGAACATGGTGATTACTAATTACCCAGTTCCAATTGTGTTTGATCATCAAACTCCATACCTTTTAAACCCAAAATTCTAAACACAAAATGCCCATCTTTTTCTGCAGGAGGAAACGGTAACTTTTGCATGTGAATGAACTCAGTATGACTCACCGACCATGCCGTACACTAGATTGATCATCCTGGCATTGACCAGTCTGTCCCTCTTTGGATCCCTGGGCCTCCTTTTCATGATGTCATTCTCAGCCGGCTCATATGCCAGTGCAATTGAGGGCCACAAGTCAGTGCCCAGATCAATGAACAGAATAGTCACCGTGGAGAGGGGGAGGGGGATGGAGAAGACAACGTGGAACAGGAAGGGGGCTATCTCGGGGATGTTGCTACAGATATCCATCAATTGAGTTAATTTGGGTTTTCAGAAAAATTAGTTTTGAAATTTTAAATTTCAAATTTTACAATTCAAAATTTTTTAGTATTTCAATTTTGTATTAAGCTTTGGGTATTCCGAATTTTTCGGTTTTTCTCAACAAACTTGAAAGTTTTCAAGCAAGTTTTTTTAAGAATAACCGTCGCACTTTTTCTAAGGTGACAGAACTGATACGTTCTTCCAAACCAATAAAAAAACTATGCATTTGGCATCTTTTTCTAAGTTTTTGTTAAAATTGTCGCATTGTTCCCTTGAAAAAATGGTATACAAGGGATTGAAAAAACGGAGAGCGATGAAATTTTTGAAGGATATGAGTCGCTGCATTTCTAACGTATAGTTTAATTAAATTTGAGTTTGGTACAAACTTTGTAAGTTCTCATCTTTAATAAAGTTTTCTGATTATGTAGCCGACCGACTTAATCAGGTAATTTCGAAAACTCGAATCATTAAGGAAACATTTACGGGAACACTACTCGACCACTTAGACTTTTTACTTTTGAATTTGTTTCGTAAACAGTTCAACTGATGTTTGGTCTTTCCTGGACAGTGTGTATGCGATGGACTTCTTGAGGTTGTCGAATATGAGGCGGCCTTCTTCCACTCCAGTGACGATCGAAGCGAAGTTGTCGTCCAGCAGGATCATGTCGGCTGCTTGTTTGGACACATCTGAGCCAGCGATGCCCATTGCGATACCTGGATTCAGTTGCACTCATTTAGTCGAAGTTCATTTCTTCAAAGTCTAGTTTGAAAAGTTGCGCTTATGAGCTGCAACTACTCTGCTGGATTTTGGAGGAAGAGTTTTCATTTTTTGGAAGTTCTTAGAATACTCAGAAAGACCTATCGAAAAAAGACTAACAAAATGTAGTAAACGTTTGTTTTCTATCAGACCAAACTTTCAGCAAGCATTTACTCGAAACAATTATTGGTGGTCATATTGAAACACCTAACACCGCAAAGTTTCTTGGTAAACACATTGACAGATAGGCCGACAATATTCTGCAATATATACGATTAAACTTGATAGATCGTACCTGTTTTTTTTAATGGAAATCATTTAAGGATCAAAATTACATGATGTACATTAAAATGATTTCGAACCAATGTCTGCTTTTTTGAGTGCGGGTGAGTCATTCACTCCGTCCCCTGTCACAGCCACAATCTTTCCCGCTCTCTGACACCCCTCCACTATGTTCAACTTCTGCTGGGGGGAGGTCCTACAGTCATCAAAAACAAACTGAAGAAATTAAACCAATCCAGTGGGGTTACTTATATGAAGAGGGGGGAGGGGGGCTGTGATTTATTATTTTTATCAAGCTATATCAAATCAATTGAACAAAATTGGAAATCTGATTGAAAACTAAATTGTTAAGTATCGGTTTTGATGATAGAACTGGCAAATTGTAGGTTTGAGTTCCAAAAAGATAGCTGTTATACACTTGCTGTTTAATGTATAGCTCTCAGTGCAGTTTAAAAAATGCAACAGTGTACCTTGCGAATACGATTTCGTCGTGATTTTTGAGCACATTCGCGAGTTGGTCTTCACTCAAGTCCTTCAAGTCGTTTCCGTGGATCACACACGCTTTGCCGTGCCTGAAAGGTAAGACTTTTTGAAATTAACTCCAAAAAACTGATATAACAAAAAAAAAAACATTCACTCTGAAAAAATATACTGCGATCTGAATAAACATATCTTCTTAATTTGTTTGCAAAAAAAATCATAGGCATGGCAGTAAGAGCTATCAGGTTAACATTATGGTCAGTAGCATGCGCAAGAATTTTTCGAATAGGTTTTTTTAAACAATTTTGTCGGCTTATTTTGTACATCATGCATATGGACATTTTTTGACCTTTGCCAAAGCCCCATAGCCAACATATTAAGCAATTATATCGTAAAAATTGTGTTTTTTGGTACGAACTGCCTCCTTAACTTTAGAAAAAATGGGTTGGTAACAGGGGCGGATCTAGGATTTTCTCGAGGGGTCGAGGGAGGGTGGATTTTCAAAAAAAAAATTATGACCTTTTTTTTAGGTCGATCAAATTGATTTTGTGAGCTCTCCCAAATCACTACAGAGACCTTGTTTTGGACAAAATCAAAAACTATAAAAAGTGAAAAAGTAGATGGACATCGAAAGGGTTCGAACCCTGACCTTAAGATTGAAAAACTTCTGACACAAACACTGATTTACCTCTTTGCCGCATTGCTGGCCACTCTGTCTCTGTTCACATTGTTGTCCACCACCATTTCCTCCTCCACAAATGCAGCTGCCTTGTTCACATCCTCCACCACTTCCTTATTTGGAGATATGATGCCCACTTGCTGGGCTATGGCCTTGGCTGTGATTGGGTGGTCACCAGTTACCATGATGATCTAGAGGCAATAACAGTTTTTAGAGAAAGACAAATGCATACTTATTTTTTCAATTAACTCGATTGATTGATTGGGAAAAAAATTCTTTTCTATTTTAACGACATCAGCATTTATTTATCATGTTTCTCCAGCGGATATTTTTACACTCACTCAAAGTTGTCCAACAAATTGTTGAAAAATTGGATAGACAGACTTTTGAATTTGTGTTAGATTTATGCAACAGCCGCTTGCTGAGCCAGAAGCACAAAATTCAGACGACAATGGTTCGAAAAAAAATCAGAACTAGAAAAAATCAATTCAAAAACTATCAAAATCTTCTGGGTGAAAAACAAACCTTACTAGTTTTTTAGCAAAAAAACGGATATTTTTTGATGAAAATGCAGGAAAAAAACTAAAATTAGATAAATTAACGCTAAAATTTTTTAAAACTAATTTTGAACTTCAGACGCACTGCTGTTAACTGCGCCATTTTCAATTTTACGTTTGGAGAGAGTAAATTGAAAATACAAGTCAAACTGCAATATACGTATTCAAAAAAGGAACGTGAGTTTTTCTGAGAAAAAAAAACGAAAAAAAAAATGAAACAAGGATAGCCGGTTACTGTGCAAGTAGCACAGAGTGTTCCGACCATAGCTTCAAAAAAATTCAAATTTTTACAAATTATTGTCGTTTTTTACTCGGCGAGGTGTGATAAAAGTAGCTGAACAAAGAACTGGGCATAATTTATTTTCAAAAGCCATACTAAACTAATCGAATTGAAAAACAATTTCTAGAAAAACTAGTAGAAAAACGTTTTCTAATTTCATACCTGTTTTTCTCGAACGCTAGGGAAACTTTAGAAAAAAAATTTGATGAGGGTTTTTAAGATTAGAAAAAAACTGTATGAAGTTAATTTGAAATTTATGTACCCATAAAAATATTCATCTCAGATGTTTGGCTGCAAAACTCGATCAAAAACCAATTTTTATAACAAAAACTGAATACTCATAGTATAAAATAATCCGCTCACCATTAAAGTTACGTCCGAAGTGCAGACCAGTTTTTCGCCACTGAGACAATTCTTTACAAAAAAATTTTCAGAATCGGAACTGAAATTAATCGGGTTTTCGAATGACATCAAACTTGACCCCATTTGAGTTTTCTATGAGGCATTTAAAATCCATCGGAAAAAATTGCATCTTATACCTAGTAAATATTTCACAATTTGCGAAGTGGTCGGAGCAAAACGGACAAAGTGTTGCTGAACAGAAAAATTGGATAGAATTGCGAGCAAAAGAAAAACTCAAAAAAAACAATTCCTCAAGTTTTTCTTGTCCTCTAATATTTCGTTACTGTTCAATTGATCAAAAGATTGGATTAAATGTATCTAAACTGTAAGATTGTACAGAAAACAGCTGAATTTAATAGAAAAATTGGATTTTCATCCGTTCCTACATTGAATTTAATTTTTAAAAATGTTGGCTTGTTTTTCTTTTTTGGGATTTGATAAATTTGGGATTTGATAAATTTAATTAATTTTGCGAGAAAAAATGATGAGGTCATTTCATTCAGTATTTTTCAAAACAACTTTTTCAGTTTATCTTTTTTGAACAATCTACAGAAATTAAAAAGAATTAGCAATTTTTGGTTTTATAACAAATCAAAAAACAAGTTAGTATTTTTTAACAATTCTAACAATACCTTGCCCATTTTTACAGGCTTTTACAGTTTTAATAGATTCTAAGTGTTTTTTATTGCATTTTAAACTGGAACATCATTTCAGAATTTTGAACAAAAATTTCTGAGTTGTCATTACACGACTCAAAAGTAGCCCAATAATCAGGCTTTTCTTTTAAAATTGGCTCATTTTGACAGAACTCTTTGTTTTGTTACAATGTCCAAACCTTGATTCCAGCATCTCTGCACTTAGACACTGCATCCGGCACGGCAGCTCTCGGTGGGTCAATCATGGCCATCAGACCCACGAAACACAGGTCACTCATGGGGAAGTTGGGATCCTCTGCGTCGAATGGGAAGTCGGCCGGGTACTGTTTGGGGTCTAGTTCCAACTGGGCAAATCCCAGCACTCGCTCGCCTTTGCCACCCAGAGCCATGTAGGCTTCTTCATACTCGGCCCTGTTAACGAAAAATAGATATTTTAGAACTTTAGTTATATTCAACATTGGCTGACAAAATTTGAATTTAAGGGCTGAAATCTTAGCCATCTAATCCGCATTTCGATGATTTTAAAAACACAAAAAAAGACAGTTTTGTGACTTAATTTACACCAGTGTAGCCAAAAAGAACCCAATGGCTAAAATTAGAACACAAATTAGAAGTCATTGAGATGTGTCTGTGATTGCTGAAATTCGTCAAACTTGTTTCGTGAACTCTCGTTCAGAAAACCACTCAAAAAATGTATTTCATTCAACTGTTTTGCCGTCACTGTAGTTCAAAAAACTATTCTCAAAAAATTTGAGCTTCACTTTATACATAATTTAAAACGAAAACAATAACAAATCATTTGTGTAGAAAATTTGGCAAAAACACGCAGTAATTTAGCCCATCCACGTCTATAGTTCTGACCTTTTTGCCGCTGAGAATTCTTCCTCTGCTCCGTGTAACAAGATGGTCTTGCACAGATCTGCTATCCTTTCGGGTGCTCCTTTCATTACCAGAAGAACTCTCCCGTCTGGTGTTTTATGGATTGACAGCTGGAAAAAAATAGTATTTGATACTTCGTTGTTTTAATGATTCAACGTGGAAAAACCTTGCTTTTTTTAGTTGACCTACTTTTTACACATCAGGTTTAGTTTATTGTAGATATATCACACTTAAACACGCAAAAGTTTATATTGAACAGCCAAAACAAGCGAATTTTTTAAAAGATCGAATAGTTTTGGGTTTACCAATGATGTTAGCTGAAAGAAATTATACCTAACGTATAATAAGTTCTCTAACCTGGTATTTGTTGACGGAGTTGAATGGAATCTCTGCCAGTTTGGGATGCTCCCCCCTCGTCGCCTTCACTCCCCCCTGACTGGCCTCAATGCACTTCAGAATGGCACTCTCGCTGGCATCACCCACCACTTCCCTACAAATGAAAAAACAGCATTAAACGAAAAAAAAATGGGGTTAAAAACATTATGCGAAAAAACCCAGAAGCAAAAAAATCAAGTTGCGGCAGAGAAAAACCCAAAAGCTTTTTTATCGGACGCAACCTGAAGTAATATAAAATCTACCAGCAATGATTGCAAAACATCATGAAAGTTTATGCATATTTATGCTTTTAAAGACCGGAAAAGGAAGCCAATGGAAAAAATTCGGAAATTTCCTTCATCATACTCACAAACTTCATTTATTTGACTTGATTTGAAAACTAAAAGTGATTGCATCCACCCTAAAGCATATTTTCGCATATTTTCTTACCATCCTTCCACTACCTGGATTAGCCTGAACAACTATAACTGACCTCTTCAGCACTGGTATGTCCTCCTGTGCCCCCGCGAACTCAGCCCTGTTGCAGAGTGCCCCCACCAGTGAAAGTGCTTTCCACGTGTCAGACTTCTTGTCAAACCCTTCGCCTGCAAAACCCAACAGTGTACCTCAATTAGTGTCTTTGAAGGTAATTCATTAGAGGTTTTTTTGTGTCGGAAAAAAAACTGGTCGGCTAACTATTACCATCAAATAGTATGATTTTCATAGAGCATTGTTTGTACATGACAAAAAGTTTATATATTTATACTTCTGCAACAGTTAAGAAAAAATAAGAAAATCGAGGGATATCTGTTTCGTTGAAAATTTTGAAATCTTTATTGGCTAAAAAAGTTATTTGTTGGTTAAAAGTTGCACTTTTTAGGCTCTTTAATGGAGGCACTTAGCACAGTGGTAAGGCGTTCACTTTGAAATCGTCAGATCGTGTATTCGATCCCATGCCATGGCAATGATAGTGTGTGAGGACAAGCTCTCACTTGACCTCCAGCCGCAGGTCTACCACAACCTGACCAAATTTGGCTGCAATAGTGGTACGACGTAAAAGTTCTAGACGCAAAAAAACGGCCTTGAGTCGCAAAAAACAGCTTCGCTCAACAAAATAACACTGTCTGGAATGTGGGGAGATAATACAAATGGACTATCTTCGACAGGACTGTTAAGGCCTACTGATAGCTCCTCTGCGATTCGCAGGAACTACAATTATTATTATTAAAAATCAAAAACTTTGTTCGATCATAATTTGGCTAACAATTGAATCAATGATTTACTTGAAGAAGTTTCCTCTCTCTCTCTCTGATCGTTAAAACTTTTGATCAATTATCATCGGTATGGCTGCGTAGCAAAAAGTAGACAAGTCATATAGAGTAAACACGTCGTAAGCCAATCAGAATCAAGAAAAGCAACATTCTGTTTCTTTTTTTTTCAGGACACGTTTCTTTTTTTCTCGATTCTGATTGGCTCACGAAGTGTCTACTATACGATGATTCTACTTTTGTACCGCACTCCTATCTGCATGGCCTTCCGAAGTTTCACTCATTTATAACCTGTTTGGTCCTCGGAAGTGTCGACCTGTTGGATCTTCCCATCAAACCACAAGTGAGCCACTGTCATCCTGTTCTGAGTGAGGGTGCCTGTCTTGTCACTGCAGATCACACTTGTGCTCCCTAGAGTTTCCACCGCCTCCAAGTTCTTCACCAGACAGTTCTTCTTCGCCATGTTCTTCGCTGTCAACGTCAGACACACCTGCATTAAGAGAGTAACATTTCTGTGCACAACAGCAAAACAGTTTTTCTTAAAACCAATAACTTTGAAAACTATTTGCACCTTCAATAAGCGAGTACCATATCTGTGCACAACACCAAAACAGTCTTTCTTAAAAGCAATAACTTTGAAAACTATTTGCACCTTCAATAAGCGAATACCATATCTGTTCACAACACTAAAACAGTCTTTTTTAAATGTAATAGCCTAAAAACTATCTTCAATAAGAGAGTAGAATTTCTGTGCACAACACCAAAATAGGCTTTCCTAATTGCAATAAACTTGTTAACCTATCTGAAATGCTTCTTTATACAGTGGGATAAAAGAGTATTTCTCGAATCAAGTTTTCTGGTTATTTACTACCAAAGTGGCATAAAGATGAATAGTTAAGCGTTAACTTTGAATTGCGTACAGTGACAGTGGCCAGTAGTCCCTCTGGCACATTGGCCACGATGATGCCGATAACGAAGACTATGGCCTGCACCCAGTAGTAGTCAAGAATCAGAGACAGCACGAAGAAGATCAGACCTGGACAAAAAAGAAGAGGCTGACAAGTTTTTCCCATTATAGCCCCCCCCCCCCCCCACCCCCCCCCAGCCTAGTAACAAAAAAAGTATAGCCCCTCAAACAACAAAAATTGTATTTTTGGAGGTGGGTGTATATTTTACTGCTGGGTGTGGGGTATATTTTGGTACATAAAAATCAGAAGACACTCACCTACAAATTCCAAATGAATTCCAAATGAGTTGATCTCCGTAATTGCAAAATGAGCAACAAAAAGTTGGAAGAGTGTCGAAGAAATCAAGAAAACCAAAAAAAAGAAAGTTTGGGGCCATTTTCAATTAAAAAGTATCCTAAAGTTTTCGAAATGCGCGAGTTGGACGTAATCTTTCCAAACAAACAATTTCCTGATATAAAAACCTCAATTTGAAAAAAAACTGGATCAGAGTGTAATTTTTTATTCAACTGGAAATATCTATAAAAACTGTTCATTTTCGAAACTGAGAGTCATATATATGACTTTTTGGCAATTTGTTTTTTCTCTACAGAGAAAAGTAACTCGCTTTATTTTTAGAAATCAAGAACTAGGACCGCGAAAAATTAAATTTGTCCTGATAAAGCAAAACACAATTTCAGATCTAATAAATGACGTCTTTTGACACTTAAATCTGCTTAAATACATACTGGGTTCTTTATCCTTCTCCTCCTCCTCCCTTGCAAAGTTTTTCCAAGAGAAAGTTTGCTCACTTTTCCAGATCAATGTGAAAATTGACATGAGAACAGATGAGTCAATGAGAATTATGTTTGGTTATCTTACTCAACCTTGCAGAAACCAACCGTTACACCATTTTTTAATTACATTTGTTTCTTACCCTGATACGAGCAGTCTTGCTTCTTTTTATTTCAGAGTGATTTTTGCGAAAATTTTGTTTGAAAAAACCGAGCCATCACTGAAACGATTTTCTTAAAGTGTCTAACTGGACTCCATCTGCTTTTTAATTGCGAGAAAAATGGTCTGATTGAAAAATTTTCTTATCGATGAGATTGCTTTTATCAACCAGAAGACCAACGTTAAAGTATAAACAAAACAAATTTTTAATATTATCTTAAGCTGAATTATTCATTTTTTAACTTTGCTTAAAATGTTCACTCCAAAATATTTTTTGATTGAAAAATATATACCATACATTTTTCCTTTATGAAAAATGTTTGATGTGCTTTTTTATCAAAAAAAAACTAAAAGTGAGAAACCTTTTTCTCTTTTTTGATCGCGGACGCGCTTCTGTGTTAAAAAATCAACAGTTATTTCCTGGAAAATATTGTTGCATAAAGCTCTTTCTTACTCTTCCTGCCTGTAGCGTGCGAATTGCCTGTGAATTATCGCAAAATTACCCTCAAGTGTTTTTTATAACTAAAATCAATGTTTTTTTTTCTCTTAAAATGTCAAGATAAACCTAAATCTCTATAAAAAATAGCCTCTACTTCAACCACTGCAATTTCTAAAAAAAAAACGTTAGAATAGATGGCAGATCATCAAATAAAACTGTTTTTGTGGTTGATGCAATTTAACCTGTTCTTAACCGCATTTTCTTGTATGAGGAAATCCCTGACTTTTTGATGTTTTCGCACAAAATACAAAATTTCAGTGTGAAAACAGCTCAAGTGAAGAGCATCACTCTAAACTAATCAAGTGAATGATCGTCCTCAAAAATTAAACGCAAAATGTTAGCAGTAAAATCATATGCTAACGCGCATTTCTGATTTACTGAAAAAACATATTTTAACCAATTTTAAACAAAATTTAAACATAATTGAAGACTCGTCTCTGGAATCCAGGAACATACAGATACAAAATTGAGCGCCTATCCAAAGCACATTTTGGCCTCGTAGTGAACAACCTTCTTGCTAAATTGATTTAGGGGAGATTGTTCACTTGGTCCCGGAACTTTTTTATGGGTCTTAGTTTATGTAAAATGTCTCATAGTTTTCAGTTAGCAAAACATTTTACATAAACTAATACCCATAAAAAAGTTCCGGGACCAAGTGAACAATCTCCCCTAAATCAATTTAGCAAGAAGGTTGTTCAATACGAGGCCAAAATGTGTTTTGGATAGGCGCTCAATTTTGTATCTGTATGTTTTGATTTAAATGATCCAGACAAACCGTTTAATACTTGAAAATTAAATACTTGAAAATTAAAATAAGAATGATGAAGACAAAACTTGCTTAGAATGTTAGCAGAATCATAAAAATTGGGCCCAAATTTTTACCCCAAAAACGGACCACTTTTGGCTTTTCTGATAGTTAAAATTGTGCCAAAACTGCAAGTGGAAAAGTGGCAATGAACACAATGAGGCCAAAAAAAGACTAGCTGTTTTTACAAACGCCGCCAACGCTAGTCGGAACCTTCTGCATTAATTGCACGGCAACCGGAGTTTTTTTTGCCTACAGTATGTTATTTGTTATAGTCTAATTTTTGCGCACTCTTAATTTAAAATTCTAAAGCTTACATCAAGGAAAAACTCAACTTCAGTGACAAATTTTCTCAGGAAGATTAGAAAACCAAAAATTAAGTACTTGTTGATTAGGTATATTGTTGAGATATTTCAAAGAGTGCTTGCCTAAAGATACTGCCACCCCGGTGATGATGTGAACAAAGTGGCTGATCTCTCTGGCGATGGGGGTGGAGCTGTTGCCCAGATTGGAGGTGAGGGAGGCTATTCTGCCCATTATGGTGTTGTCTCCCGTTCGAATCACAATGCCACGACAGGTGCCTAGAAAAAGGAAGCCAGTTTTGGGGTTCGTAAGGTTGGGAAATAGAAAAACAGCAAATTGGGTGCGTCTTTATGTTCAGTTTGACAAGTTGAAATACTATTGTTGAATTGGCAACTACACCTGTTATGGTCATTCAGATTCCACTTTTCGGCTAAGGATAAACCCACAGATGCAATTAACTTGTCGTGCAAGATGACTTTACACGGATAGTATCGATTTACTCTCTCAAGCTCTGCTACTAACTAAATGTGTGCGGGTTCCAAACAGAACTAATTTTCCTACTAATACGTGAAAACATCAAAATAATGCCTTCGAAAAAATTAAATCTTCACTTTTACCTTCGACTGCGTTGGTTGAGAAGAAGGCGAGGTTCTTAGTCTCCAGTGGGTTGTCGTGGGTCTTCTCTGGAGTTCGCGACTGGGGCTCAGACTCACCAGTGAGAGAGGAATTGTCAACCTAAAATATAGGTCACTCTGTTTGAATGAAAAGGTTCCGATGTCATGCCACGCATACAACATCGCATGTTCATATGTTGTATTCGTTGCATTCTCGTTGGCAGTCTTTGCAGTGGCGTCAATGCCACCCACCTGTCGTACTTAACTAATACACATGGTGCTAAAGTTTTATGTTATCTGTCTGTTCATCTGTGCTAAGATACAGACCTACTCTATCTTGTTACGCTAGCTAACAAACTAACTTAAACTTAAAACTGTTAAACCTCTTGTTACAGATAGGTTTATTCTGGGTCCATTAAGATCCTGTAAAAATATAGCTATACTTATCCATTACTTAATTCAACTCTTTAATTTTACCGAGTTTTGTTAGTCCTAGACTTCGGTAAAAGTCATCCGAAAAGCTGTCCACCAAAATTTAGAAGAATAGCTATGGCTAATAGACATTTCCTGTGACAATCACGTAAAAACTTGTCCATTTAATTCTTTTCGCAGTTTGCTAGCCTTTTTCAATGTAAAAATAAATAGTTAAGAGAATTATGCCAAACATTTAGATTTCTGGAATCTCTCAATTCAGAATATTTTCGATGCAACACAGTAAAAAAATGCGATTCGAATCATTATAGTCAAAAAAACTACTGACAAATCTCTTTAAATGGATGGAATCTTTTTCCATATAATCTCTCCCAAGACTTGTAGCGGAAAAACTATAGCACCATCATCAGTTTATGAATTTTCTGGGTGTTATGTTTGCTAGGGTGATGATTAAGAAAAAAAAAGCCTCGTAGGCCGCGTTGCTAGTGCAATAACCTGATAAAAAAAAGAACAAAGAAAAAACAAAAGCTAAATGTATGACAGAGTGGGAGGTCCAGAAAATTCATGTCTGGCTTCAACATTTGCGTATCAAGAGTTTCACCTAATTTTTGCTAGATGACTGACCTTGAACCCCTTGGCGTCTATGACCCTCATGTCGGCTGGTATCCTATCCCCCGCCTTCACTCGGATGATGTCCCCCAGCACCAGCTCCTCACAGTTCACCTCTATCGTGTGACCATCCCGAATAACTGTCCCTTTCTAGACATTCTTGCTCATGTAACTCACTTGAAATTCACTTGTGACTTTTCCCCAAGTTCTAATACTTAACACCATCTGCGAAATTTATCTGGTTAAAAAAGTTGAATTCGTAATTAAAATTTTTATTTTTTTAATATTTTTTCACCTTGGCCGATTGTTACGAAAATTGACGTGCGGACTATTTAGCCCATATTTAGTTTTCCTACTTAACCTTGTAAAATTTGTACTTGATATAATTAAAATTTATACTCGTTCGAGCCTGGAAAAAAGTGTGTTTGTATGAGAGTGAGGGGTGAAAAGGGTTCGGGAACAGAAAAGAGTTGTAGTTTAAGAGTTGTAGAGAGTCAGAAAATGAGAAGCCACAAATACAAAGAATGTGACTGACTGACCTGTGGAATCATCTTCTTGAAGCTCTCCATGATCCTGCTGCTCTTGGCCTCCTGAGTGTACTGGAAGACAGAAGTGACGACGACCACCACCGCCAGCACCACCCCCAGCCACAACTGAACAACAAAGGGGGCAGATGAACATCAAAAAACATTCAGAATAGGCAAAATAGGTCATCTTTCTCCACAGCTGCAACAAAACTTCAAATCATTCACGAGTCAATGTTTTATATTTGAGCTTTCATCCACATTTGAATATTGATTTGCAATTATGGGCTACTTTTTGTGAACAAAACAGTTGTGGAAACGAGTCGAGCTTTTCATCCTTTGAAGATCAATTATGAGTGAAGAGGAAGGGGTAGCCGCAAAGCGTTTAGCTCTTTTCCACTTTCCCCAATTTCCCAGTTTCCATTTTCAATTGTTCACACGGCAATTTGCATGTAAGAAATATTGTGAAAATTTGAAAATTCTGAAAGTTGGGGGAGGAAGAAAATAGCCAAACATTCATTAAAGTCAAAAGCACCAAAACTCTCTCACGTCATCCATCTGTGCATTCTTCTCCGTGCTCGCTTTGTAGATGTAACTGCAGAAGCAGAGGACAGCCCCGATCCACAGAAGGAGACTGAAGCCAGTGAACATGAGTTTGAGGAACTTGATGATCTCCGACTGCTGTTTGGGGGGACTGAGTGAATTCGGTCCGTCCCGCTCCAGTTTCCGACGGGCTTGCTTCGCGGTCAGACCCTGTAAATTAATTAAACTCCTTGTTGCCTAGTCTTATTGATATTTACACGTATGAATCACATTTATTTTTTTAAAATTAAATTCCCAGCCCCCTTCAACGTCATCATCCTAAATGAAAAAAAAAACCACTGATTTCGGCATTTTAATTGCCAGTTCGTGGCTCGGATTTAAAGGTTAAAACGGAATAAAAAAATCATGTGTGTGCCAATGCCACCAATAAGTTTTGGCTCTTTTTCCTTGTTTATCGGTTAGTGGGAACAGTAATTTTACTTGTAAAAATTGCAGGTGGGGGAAAAGGAAAAAGAGCCTTAGTTTTGTATATTTAATATACAGTTGTGAGTTATAACCGATGGTCTTAACTCATAGAGTAATTTCGGATAGGGTACACCGTCTGCTCGTCACGCTATCTTATTTTCGGCCGGATAGATTCGTGCAACTTCTTAGTCTAATACCGATCCTAATCTTACTCTTATACTATCTAGTCTCAGGTTGTTTAACTAGTCTCTGCTAGTCTCAATAGATCTAGGGTATACTGGTTTATTGCGGCTGCTGAAGTTCTCTTGGAGAGGCAACTTATTTCTAAGTTAAATTCAAATCTCTCTGGTGCTGAAATTACAAGTAATTTCAGCACTTACAAATAAGTGGGTTGTTAGTTAGATGGATCATGATTGGTTAATATTAAATACTTTACAGTGGTAAAATATCTAATTTATCCAATCATAAAATGTAGTTTAGATCAGGTTCCACCCATCCGGGTTTTACAGAGTTTTTTAGAATAGTTTTTCTGCAATTCAAGGGATGGATGATGGACGTTGGTATTTGGCGAACATCATATTTCTTCTGGGTTCTCCTGTTAGAGAAGTTCCAGGATCAATCGTTGTGTCTTCTTATGACAACGACTGGGTTTTCTCAACAAACTCAAATCTGATTTCAGAATGGTTTGCTATGACAGGTTTTTCTGTTTCATGTAGAGAACTTCTTTTGTGTTCAACCTAGTCTGGGAATGGCGTGGAGATTGTGCGTGGAGGGGATGCCTGGTTACTCGGATCTGTACGTATACTTGAACATCGAGGTGGTCATTGGTCTAGTTCAATGAAGTCCTTTTCTGCGAAGTCAAGTCGTACTCTAAATCCTTTGAGTTGTGATTGTGGACGGCATATTGATTGTGGTTGGAGATTCTTTTTCGAGTGTAGTGGTGTCATTTTGTCTTTGGATGTTCGTCTTTGGTGTTGTATGCTGATCTATATACTGCAAGGTATAATTTACATTTTATAAAATTTTTATTAGTTCGGTGTTTTAATTATGATTTTGGTTAGTTGTTTTCACAAAAGCTTTTTGTTTTAGTTCGGTTATTTTGAAGAGTTACTCACCCTTGAGTACCTCTTATTAAAAATAGAAGTGTGGTCACAAAGCGTGGATGTAGCGCGGTGGGTTAGGCCGGCTATAGAGCATGCTCAGGACGTCCTCTCTGGTGGGTTAGGCCAGGAGTGGGAGTATGATTTCGTGCGGTTTCTGTGAGAGGTCCTGTTATGTGATAACGTTTTATGTTGGGTTTATTGTGGTTTTTCTTATGTTTCGTTGGTTTTGTCCTTTTTTCAAAAATCAAATTGTTTTTGGTATGGGTTTGTCTTTCGACTTTTTTGTGTTTTATTATTTCTTTCTTAGACTTTATAATAGTCTTCAAAAGAATAAATTATCCAGTTTTAAACTGGGTTAATCCGGTTTGGGTACCGTTGGTTTCCTTTCCTTAGTCATGCTGTTATTCTATGATTTGTGGTGTTTAGTAAGCTGCATTGGTTAGTTTTGTTTAGTATATAATTCCTTTCCAACCGGGTTAAAGGAAAGTTTGAAACGTGTTATCGTGTGTTAGAGTTGTTGAGTGTGAAAGCTTGAAACTGAAATTCATTATTTAAACAATTCTTCGTGGGCGAGCTGTGCGAGTTTGGATAGAATTTTTGTGCGAGTGAATGGAAATATCAAAAGGTTAGTACTGCATTTTCGTTTTATCAATTTACTACATAGAATTTCAATTTTACTGCTAGTTTTTTGGGGAAAAATTAAGTTACAAATTTTCATCATTATTAGAATTACTGCTTTTAGGGAAATAACTTATAAATTAATTTACTACATTGGTATGATTTTTATTGAATTTATCTATTGCAAAATATTAATAGAGTTTTGAAGAATTTGAAGAAGTTTTTTATTTTTTATTTTTCTTTTTTGTAATTTGCAGGTGATCGTGGGATGAAGACTAAAAATCTAAATAAGACATGGATAAGGAATGGTTAGTATTTATTCAAATTAATTAGTGAAGAATATGTATAAATTATACTTACCTGTTAGTCGTCGGGGAAAAAACCGTGGGGGAAGATGTCGTGTATTGTGTCGGAATTTGTTAGTAATTTTGCTAGTATGCGAATGATGTTTTTAGTTTGAAGCAGTGGCCAAAGCAATTGAAGTGCTTTAATAGTTTTTAGTTCTTCAGTGCCAACTGCAAACTCATAAGGTGTGTTTTGGATGAGATTATATAATTTGTGATTGTATTTAGTATTGTGGATGAATTCTAATATCGGGATTTCTATAGGTTGAATAAATTCATGTGGGATAAGGAAGGGTCTGGATTCTTCTGCGTTGAAGGTCTTCGTGATGGGACAAAAAATATACATTTGGGTTATGGGATCATAATTGCGAAGAATACCGTGAAGGTTAGTATCTTTGATGCAATATGTGAAGTTAAGAAAAAATGGTGAAGTGTATTTAGAGTTTATAATAATTGAAAACGGTGGTGTGGTTGTCTTGATGGAGTGTGTAGATCAAAATGATTTTGTATGAAGCGATAATATGTATATGTGTGGGTTTGTTTAGTGCGTAACATAATGTCGTGTGAGCAGTGCAAATCGCGTTCTTGTGGTGCAAGGAAATTGAAGGTTAGTGAAAATAATTGAAATCTTTCTTTAAAACTTTCGTAAGCTTGCATGTCGGTTAGTGCTTCAGAAATGACGTGGTCGAATTTGCGATCAAATATATTGAGTGTAAATACATATGGTGTTTTGATGAAGAATTTTTCTGTGATTTGTGGGTTAGCGAAACGATCATCATCTAAAAATTGGTCTTGGTTAGCTCGGATGATGTTGTGATCGTAATATTCTAGCGTATATTCGTTAGCTCGGGGTGCAGTGTATGTTTTTAGTGATTTTTTATATCCTATATTAGTAAATTGTCTATGTGTTAGTGGTGTGGTGAGTCGATATAGCATATCTTTATTTTTTTCTATATCGATGTGAGTATTAGATAAAGGTAGGCAAAGGGGGTTAGTAAAATGATAATATGATGTCCAATGAAGTCTAGGCATTAAAACTTGTTCATCTACAAAACTACGTGTGTCGTTAGTGTCGTTAGGGGTGTTTAAAGTATACTGTGGAAATGAAGAAAAGGTGATTGCTAAAAAATCTTTCGTGTTAGTGTGATTTGGATGATTAATATATTCACGGGCTGTTCGTGGTTTTGTTGGAAATGGATGGTTGAGGAATTTTCTTTTGAAAGTGCGATAAGCTCTATTAGTGCTAGTTGATGATTCGGTGGATGTGGATGATGGTGCTAATGATGCGGTATAAGCTGAAGAGGGTGTAGGGGTAGGTGGGTTTGATGATTCTATTGTGGATGAAATCTGATTTATAGTGGGGGTGTCTAGGTGGAAGGGTTGTTGTTGTAGGGTGATAAAATTATCTAGTTCTTGGGAGATTTGGGGAGTATCTGGAGAATTGGATGATCGGTCTGAATGAAATGAAGAGTAGGTTGGGGTGACTTGTGAAGCATAAGAGGGTGTAGAAATGGATGGAAGTGGGTTATTTGGTGGGATTGGTTGAAAAGGGGGTTTTGAAAAAACTGAGGAGTTGGTTTGAAAATTATTGGATGGAGATGGTTCAGAGTCTGCAAATTCATCAGGGGTTTCAATATTTGGGTTATTGAGTTGTGAAATGGAGTATAAAACTGAGATATGTGAATTAGTGTCTGAATTCATGCCTGATGATATGTTATTGGTTGGGAAATCGGGTGGCGGGAAAGCAAAAAGTGGAATTATTGTAATTGGAGTGTTGAGGTTGGTTGGATGGGAATTTGAGCGGTGTAGGGATCCAAGTTGTCGGCTCATCGTGGGCTAAAAAAATTATTATTTTGAGACTGAAAAGCGGTGGTATGGGGTTGTTCTATAATTTGTTCATATGTATTTTCATCTAGTGAATGATGTGTCATTATATGTTGAATGGGACTTTGTGATATGGTTGATCTAAAATTTGGATTATGTGTTATTGCTAAATTTCGAAAATTTCGTGGGACTAGGGATAATGGATGGTTATGTGGTAGGGGTGGTAACTGTGGTGCTGTAGGCGTTATTTCTACATTGTTATGTTCTTCGTCATATGTGTTCTGTCTTGTTGCTATTTTTGTGTTGTATTCTTTTATTTGTGCGTCTAAAAGAATTTTGTTTATTGATGATGAAAAAATTCCAAAAAATCCTGCAAATAGTATGCGTGCTACACTTGCTTGTCTATTTACTTGTGTGTGTATAGCGCATGTATTATAGATTCCTTTTAAAAGTGAAAAAAGAAATCCTATAAAGTTAAACATTGCGTATAAAATAGTTAATTTTTCTAAGATGTAATAGGGCTATCCTAGAAAATCAAGAATTTCATTTTTGAGTGTAACAAAGCTAAAAATATTTATAGGTGAGATATCTTGTGGTCGGTGTTTTTCACCGTTTAGATTTATATAGTCTTTAATGTCTTTAAAATATCCGCTATAGTCTTGTGTATAAATATCTGCAAATCCTGCGGTTTCGGCAAGTTTGCGTAAGTTTTGGTCAATTGATTGTCTTTGTATAGTGTCCATTTGTGTTAATAATTCTTGGAATTGTTGTGTTCTAATGTGATGTTGGATATCGGATTTTGAGTATATTCTAATTGATTGTAGGTCAATATTTGGGTTTCGAGCAATAGCTCTAA